GTGCACACTCGTGGAGCCAGGACGTAGCTCTTCAGGACTCCGCCGTAAACGTGCACACTCGTGGAGCGCTGTCATACGGTGTCGTGCACACTTACAGGAAAATACCTATAAGGTGAAAGATCGAATGGAATTCCTAATTGTAGGTTTTTGAAGACTCACCCTGCAGGTTTCCACAGCGGTTTTGCTAGTGTGCATTCCCACCAGCAATATTGAGCGCTTCCTTTCTCCCTGCATCTCCCCAGCATTTGCTATTACTTGCATTCTGATGCTGCCAGTCTTTCTGGGATAAAATGGAATATTAGTGTTTTAATTGCCCTTCTCTAATGGCTAGCCACGTTTGACATTTTTTTTTTTTGTTGTTTGTTTATTTATTTGGTACAGAGTCTCGCCACACAGCTCAGACTCATAGTGATCCTCCTGTCTTGGCCTTCCCAGCGCTGGGATTACGGGCGAATGCCACCGTGCTATGCAGTACCGGGAATCAAACACAGGTCTTTGTGCTTGCCACGCAGGCACCTAGGCCACTGAGCTATCTCCCCAGCGCCATTTTTTTCACGTATTTATTGGCTGTTTATTTATAGTTCCTCTGTGAAATGTCTGTTCATTTCACTTGCCCATGTTTTGATTGGTCTTTTATTTTGAGGGAATCTAATTTTTTAGAGTTCTTTATATATTCTAGGTGTGAGCCCTCTGTCTGAGGAATCGCAGGCAAATTTTTTTCCCATTCAGTAGGCTATCTTTTTCACTCTCTTGGTTGTTTCTTTTGCTATGCTGAAGCTTTTTAATTTAATAAGATTCCATTTATTGATTCTTGAAACTGTTTCCTGGGCAAATGGGGTTCAGTTCAGAAAGTTCTTGCCTGTGCCTGTGACCTCAAGAGTTTTATATATCTTGTCTTCCTGCAAATTAAGTACTTCTGTTTACCAACTAGCTCTTTCTTTTTTAATTTATTTTTTTATTGTACTCCTTAACCTTTTATTTATTTACCTCCACAGCATGTGGTACCAGGGATCAAACTCAGGTCCTTGCACTTGCCAGGCAGGCGCTTAGACCACTGAGCCCCCAACTCATTCTTTGATTCATTTGACTTTAGTCTACTACATCATGAGAGATAAGGATGCAGAGTCGGTCCTCTGCATGTAGACGGCTGGCAAAACTTTTAACTTGGTTACCACAGTGAAGTCTCTGAGTTAGACTGCAGGAAGTTGGACTTCATGATAGTGCAGAGTTGTAGCTTAAAACTTATCTTTTCATGATTCATATTTTAACTACCTAAATACCTCAGTGAAGTAAAACGTTGAATTTCTGTATTGCTTAAATGAATAAACTATCTAAGGCACAGGATCAACTTTTATTTCTATTTAATTTTCTCTTTTTAAAATTACTGTTTAATGATTAAAGCAGGTCCTTAAAGACCTTAACTAGGATACTTACTATTAGCAAGACTTGAGTAGCTGTTGGCAGATAATGAAACAATACTGCATTTCTTTTTCATACAGAATTATGGCTTTTTAATAAGCGACTTCCTCTCTCCCTCGCTGACCCCCACCATGGTACTTACACTAAATGCACAGTATTTTATTTTCCCAGCGAATGTGTTCAGTTCGTCGTGTACGCGTAGTGAAGACAAAGGCTAGAGTCATAGACGTTCTGCTTTTAAGAAGATAACTAGGCGGAGTCTGGCTGTCAATGCCTGAAGCTTGTTTTTCTGTAAAGGGAGCAGCTCCGTGCAACTTGTAGGAAGCAGCATCGGTTTTCCTGCGATCTTCAAAGGCAGGCTGATTGATCCGCCAGTGAAAGAAGGGCTGTGTGGTGTTCCTAGGCTTTCTTGGAAGTCTCAGAGCCTACGTTTCCACACTTGGGTTTTACTCATTAGCATTTAAATGGAAAACATGTTGTCTAGGTGGGATTCGATTTGGCTGTGACAATGGATGATTGTGTTTAAGACATTTGTGCCAGAGATTATTAGCGAGGCCTGTGGGAGTCTCACCAGTTATCTTGGCCAAGCCCTGTGGCCAGGGGACAAGTGACACGATGCCTCCTCTGAGGTGGCTTTGGAGCCTCAATACTCAGTCCTTCGCCCTTTTCTGTGGTCTCCCCAAAGCAATCACACATTCGTGAGTACACGTGTGTCTGCTGACAGCTCGGTAGCCTTCCAGGAGGTGAGCAGGTAGCCTGGTGATGGAGAATCTTTTAGACCTTCGGATGAGGTGGACAGCCCACCGCTGCACGCATGCTACGTGCACCACTGAGGTAGCCATCTCTGAGCGGACGCGACAGGGTTTCCCCTGTGGGCACCTGGTGGCAAAGAGACTGGAGGTCAAGAGTGGTAGGAACTGGTTGGGACTGAGAGAGAGTGGATCCTCACTGTGAGGTCGCAGACTTTCACGCAGTGCGGTGTGCCCCAAGCAGGCATTTTGCCTGAGCTCATGTATTTAACTCTCAAATGTCCGTGATGTAGGTGCTTTTATTTTCAAGCTCATTTCACGAAGACCTCATTTGGGCTGGAAAAGCCAGCTGTCTTAGTTTGCCCTGCTACAAGATGCCCTGGACTAGGTAAGGAGCAAACACTCAAGATTTGTTGTGCATGGTTTTAGAGACAAGGTCCTGGCAGGCTACAGTGCAGTGAGGCCTTGAACTTCTCAGGCAATGGCTTCTGCCTGCGTTGTCACATGGTGGGGACAGCAAGCTCTCTTGGGCCACTCTGACAAGAACCCCAGCGGCATTCCCTGTGGGGCTGTGCAGCTGCCTGGTGCCTCCTGCCCTGGATACCACCCTGGAGGTGCAGTCTCTGTATGGGACGCTGCCGCCCAGACACGTGTTCCCAACACTTGCTCACAAGACAGGACAGGACAACAGAGACCCAGAAGCACCCAGGCTTGGATGTGCTTCTTTGGGGACCCGTCTGGCTCAGGGAGGGGAGCTGGAGTTTTCATTCCTGCCGCTTACCACCATGGATGCAAGATGTTGTGGAGTCCGGAGCCGTGGGAATTGAAAGGCACCATGGAGCTTTCCTGGGGAGTGGATTTTGAGTGTTTCTGGGGTGTCCAAGCCTTGCTGGGCTGTGATTGCAAGTTCATGTAGCTGTGGGAGCTGGGGAAGATGGGCGAGGGTTGCCCTGCCTTGTTCAGGAGTCCCTGCATCCAGTGGTCCCTGGACGCGAGCTCGTGCTGGGGTCCTGCTGCTGGCGTGTCTCCTGGTTCCTGGGGCTCTCCATTCTGGTGGAGGAGGGATGGACCTCCCCATGAGCTCATGCACGTGTGTCCTTCATGGTACCCCTACTGCCTGCTGGGGAAAGCCTTCCTTCTGTTTTTCTGACAGCCTCGCATTGTTTTCTACCATTGACTCGATACATGGGAATTGGTGGGTCCATAGTCCCCCGGCAGGTGTCTGCTCCCTGTTCCTCTGAGGTTTACCTGTCCCCTTTTTCTTCCCCAGGCCACGCGGCAGACATGGTGAACATCAAGGCCTTCACGTTAGTCTCTGCTGTCGAGCGGGAGCTGCTGATGGGCGACAAAGAGCGCGTCAACATTGAGTGCGTGGAGTGTTGTGGCCGGAACCTCTATGTGGGCACCAGTGACGGCTTCATCTACCACTTCCTGCTGGAGGAGAAGGCTCTGCCCACGGGCACCACCACCTTCACGGCCACCAAGCAGCTGCACAGACATTTGGGATTCAAGAAGCCGGTGAGCGAGCTGCGTGCGGCCTCGGCCCTGGACAGGCTGCTGGTACTCTGTGACAGCTGCATCTCCCTGGTGGGCATGCACAGCCTGGAGCCCGTGCCCTCTGGTGCACGCATTAAGGGCGCCTCCACCTTTGCACTCAACGAGAACCCCGTGGGCGGGGACCCGTTCTGTGTGGAGGTCTGCATCCTCTCGGTCAAGCGCAGAACCATCCAGGTGTTCCTGGTCTATGAGGACCGTGTGCAGATTGTCAAGGAAGTGTCCACGCCGGAGCAGCCCCTGGCCGTGGCTGTGGATGGCCACTTCCTGTGTCTGGCCCTGAGCACGCAGTACATCATCCTCAACTACAGCACAGGCCTCTCGCAGGACCTGTTTCCCTACTGCAGCGAGGAGAAGCGGCCGATCGTCAAGAGGATTGGCCGGCAGGAATTCCTGCTGGCTGGCCCAGGCGGCCTGGGTGAGGACGGGGTCTGGGGGCTATGTGTGCTCTTAGGGACCTTCTGCATGCAATGGTGGGAGAGCCAGCACTTTGCAAGGCAACAGTCGTGTGGCCAAGCTGCCGGTGTCTTGTGAAAGGCATGGGGGCTGGGCCTGTGTGCTGGAGCCCTGGCACTCTGGAAGGAGGCTAGAGGAAGAGGCATGTCCTTGGGACTGTGGCCCTGTGCTCCTCTGCAGGCCGAGGCGACCACGACCTCACGGTAGCGTGGTGACCTCACCCAGGACCATTGTAAACAAGGCATGAGGCCAAGCTGGAGGAGGCTTCTTAATTGTTTTTATTCCTCATTCTGAGAAGGGGTGGACGTAGCTCCCAAGACATTTTCCCGTGTGTCTGTTAGCTTCCTGTAGCTATGATAAATTTCCAACACGGCCTCCTTTTTTTTTTTCACAGCCCACTTGTAGAGTAGGAAGGTTTGCGTTTAGTGATGCTATAGAAGTTCAGAGCTTGGTCAGGTGGGCCCCTGCTTTGCACCGCTGCTAATGGCAACCAGTCCACCTTGTGGCAGCCAGAGTGAGAGGAGGCTATGGCCCAGGGCCTGAAGACTTCCCTCTGGCCCACTCCTGAGGCTCCTGCCACCTCCCCACAGTCCCCTCAGCTGACCCCTGCACTTGGGCCTTTGGAAACCACTGAGAGTCCGGGCCACAGTGTCCTCTCATTTCTGTGGTTTCCTCCACCAGGGCGTCTTGGTCAGTCGGCCTGTGGAAGGGGCCCGGCTTTTTCCCAGCTCCCCTAGCCAGGCCTCTGGTGTCCTCCTGGTGACAGCAGGCTGAGGCTAAAGCAGTGCCCCTGCTTTTTGTGTCCGGTGGCTTCTCTCCATTTGTGTGGACGCATCTGTCCAGGGTGCCGTGAGCTGTGGCTCATCTAGTGCATATGCTCCCTGGTAGGCTCTCAGCTCGGGATGGGAGTGCGGTGGACTTTGGGCAGGCCAGAAACACAGGTGCGAGCCGGCCAGAAGACACTTGGTCAGTTTCACCTTGAAGACAGACTTGACTTCTGGGGTGCTCACAGTGCACAGCAGTGCGCAGAGGCCAGTGGCGAGGTCTTTGTGTCGCTGTCCTTGAGTGCAGCAGCCCTGTCCGCAGCACCCCGCCAGTGCCTTGTCTTCACTGACACATGGGCATCCCCTTGTGGTGGTGCACATGTGGGCTGGACACATGCATGAGGGTGGCACCCACCCCTGCCCTGGTTCCCAGTGGAGAGCCAGCCCCCAGCCCTGCTCCACGCTCGCCCCTCCCCCGGTGGCTCCAGAGCGTTGCCCTTCCTGGTCAGAGTCATACAGGATGCAGCCTTACAGCCTGGCTTTTTCCTGGCAGTATGGGTAGCAAACCCAGAACTTCGCCCTCTGCTGCTATCGGGGCTGTCGGGGCCCAGTCCTAGCCCCACTGATCTCCTGCTCAGAGGTATGATTGATATAGGAACGTGAAATTCCCAACCTGGCCTGAATGAGTTCGTGTTCTCTAAAACCGAAGAATGCATTTTAGGAACAAACGGAGGTTGAGGGTAAAACTTTATTGGAAAGGAAAGCTTCTGTCAGAGAGGGAAAGAAGGGGGTCCCGAGCGGGTTGCCCAGGAAGCTGTCTCCTTCAGGTTATTTTATAGGACAAAACCATGCGGGGCTAAGGTAGAGACAAAGGGGTCCCGCTTAGGCAGATACAGGGTGGGACAAAACTATGGTCAACCAGTGGGATTACAAGCACCATTGCTCAGGTAAAATTTATTAGGCCTAGGACTAAATGGGATAGAGTCACGTAGCAAGCGGGCGACCTTATCTGGTGGCCTTCAGTCAATGATTCTTCCTGACTAATGAGCAATCCTGGATGCCAACTTTAGGGAGGTCAGCATTTGTTTGATCTTTAGGTCTGGCTCACACCAGGAGCATCTCCTCAGTAAGGTGTCTGGTCTTTGTCATCCCCTTCGAGGGCCTGTCCCTGTCTAACTACCTACAATATTTCTATCTAACTCAGCCTGCCTGCAACATGATGACAGAATAAAACTCAGGCAAAACATAGATTTTAGTTACAAGGGGCACCAGGATGGTCAAAGCCCATTGACAGACTAGGACCACGCGGTGTCCCTGGCCTTTATTAGGTGTGCAGCATGATTGGGGGTGCTGGTGGCTGCAGGCAATGGTAGGGTAAATGGCCCAGAAGAGGTTCAGGAATTGGGGAACAATGCATTTTTGGAAAAGCACACAGGAATAGAGCAGGGTTAACTAGTAACCTGCCTGTCTGCTAACTGCAGCTGCTGCGCCAGGCGAAATTTGCACATCGGGTCCTATCTTGCATGTTATCTTGCTTTGAGGTACCAGGATGTCATAGGCTGTTAGCTGGCCTCGGCCCTGGCCATTGGTGTGAAGAGTAATTTGTCCTTAAACCAGCTGGGGGACTCAGCACAAGTCATGTAGGCCTAGGACAGACTCAATTTATTTTTTTAGGGTTTTGTTTTGTTGTTTTTGCTTTTTATATGTGTGCAGGGTCTCACTACCCAGCACAGACTTGTAATGAGCTTCCTGTTTTCAGTCTCCCTAGTGCTGGAATTGCAGGCATGCACCAGCACACCTGGACTCTATCACTGGCTCGGAGTGGCAGGGGGGCGGTGTGACATGTGGTGCCAGGCATTGAACCAGGCCTGGCCCATGCACTTACCTAAGCAAGCACTCAGTCCACTGAGCTGTCTTACCTGCCCTTCAATTTATTTTTGTGACAGTTTACTAATATTAATTATTGCTTGCTTGCACTATGTTAAGCTGATTCTCAGCATACCATATCCCCTGGCCTGTGTATTTTTTATTTTGAGACCGAGCCTTACTAAGTGGTCAGGCTGGCCTTGAATTTGCTGTCCAGCCTCAGTCTCCCATCTGGCTGGTCCACCACAGCCAGCTTTACATTGTGTTTTAGTTACTCTTCTCTCGTTGCTGGGACAAATACCCAACACTCAGAATGAAGGAAGGAAAGGTTTATTTAGCTCACAGTTACTGGAGGCTTCAGTCCATGCTCAGCTGGCTCCAAGGCGGAGCAGCACACAGCAGAGAGCAACCTTTCAGGGCGGTAGCAAAGAGCAAGAGCTAAAAGGAGGGGTAGCAGCCTCTCAAGCAGCTGGCTTCTCTTCCCACCTTACATTGTAATGCACATTCCCTGCCCCTGGGCAGGTCAGCAACCACACCCACAGTGATCAATCACAGACTCCAGAAGCTGCCCCAAGACTGCATGAGGCTTTGGGGGGACACCTATACACAAACCATAACGCATTGGTTTCTGTCCTGGGTAATTACGCTTAAGATTCTTACATCGTCGTAGGGTTTGCTAGCTCAGACTTATTAGTTTTTGAAGAAAAATTGTTTATCTTAACTACTCTTTTCATTTATTTATTTATTTTTGCGGTACTGGAGATCGAACTCGGGACCTTGCGCTTAGCAGGCAGGGGCTCATGCTACTGAGCTGTCTCCCTGGCACCAACCACTCTTTTCTTGAAACAAGAAGAAAATAGTTTGAGAAAATGAAAGAGTTCATTCTGGAAGGCGAATACGAACACGCAGGCAAGAGATGGGGCGATGAGCCAGGCCGCCGCACTGCCCCAGCTTTTGTCTGTCCTTCCGCTGTTGTTGGCAGCCACAGCCTTCCACTGGCAAATGACCAGGGTACATTTCTGTTACCCATATACACAAAGGAAGTCATGCTGTTGGACACCGAAGAATCCAGCAGGAGTCCCTGGATGCACTGAGTGCGTGGTGGAGGGCGCGTGCCCGTGGGTGTTCCTGGAGTGAGGAGCTTGTAGGTGCACCCTCACGCGCTTGCGTGCATACCTGCGTGGTGTCTGGTTCGTTGGAAGCATTTCCAGCCGAGCCCACACCTTGGTTTGGTTGCTAGCTCTGTTAGGGTTTCACTCTGAGTACTCCCTGGCATCTTAATTTTTGTTGAAGAACGTGGATGGTTTCACCTCTAGCTTCCCCGTTTGTGATGATGTTGCTCCCTATATTGTTTAAGTCTGGCATTCTGACTTCTGTGTGCTACAAGTGGGTGATCAGGAGATTCGGGGGTTTTGTCTGCAAGCTCCAGGGGAGCAGGACTGCATGAATGTGGTGGGGTGCAGCAGCAGGCTCCACTGTGACATCCCTGTGTGGCAGTAACAGTTGCTGCTGACGGTTGTCCACATGTGCTCCCTTGTGGGACATGCGGCTTCAGTCCACCATCCTTCTCGGGCTGTGGGGGCACCTCCTGTGCAGGGAGCTGACCCCACAGGCTCACCCCAGGCGCACTGGAAGAGAGGACGAGGCCCTGAGGTGGCCCCACCCTCCTGTAGCAGTGCTGTAACTGCACCCCCACGGTCGCATGCTCCCAGCTCCCTGGCTGGCTTTTGCCAGTTCTGCCTGGGAGTTTATTCTGTGGCTGCCTGAGCCCCTTGGGCCTGTCCCTGGGATCCCGCAGCTCCCTGGCTTCCAGGTTGTCCCCGCTCACCTGTACTTCTGCCCCAGGTCTGGTGTCAGCCTCTTTTCCTGGGAGCCTGCGATTTGCATACCACTTCTGGTGCCTGCTGTGTCTAGGCAGGCCGGGCTAACCTGCATCCTTTCCGAATGACACTGTTGGGGTGGGAGTGTGGGGACCATCCTGTCCCGCGTATGCCTGGGCTCTGACGACTCCCCAGTGCGCACAACAGCAGCAGTGAAGCCTTGCACACTGCTGTTCCACAGTGTAATTACTGGGAAAGCCTGATTGCTGATGGTCCTTAGGGTATCAGAAATCAGAAAGCGCAGCTTAGCGTCACTCAGAATAGTTCCCCTCTGTGTGGTTATGGCACCAACTGATTGTGTTTCCACTGATTGGTTTCATTTTACTTCCAGATTTTAAGAAATTGCTTTGGTTTTGTTTATTTTTGTTGTGTAAGTAGTCACAGATTTCCAGGGCGTGTGGTAGGGCAGGCTGTGTCCAGAAGACCAGCGCGGTCCCCGCTCACCGCCTGCCCTTCCCTGTGGGTAGCTCTTATTTCTAAGGCTTAGATGTTCACTGTAGAAAGCCATGAACAAGTGTGCGTGTATTTGTGCTTCTTGCTGACTAACGGTACATACTTTCCTTCGCCTTGCTGTTTTATCCTCGTGTGTAGGCGATCATTGCGTGGCATAGAGTAAGGACCTTCCATCGCTGACATTGTGTTGAGCTGGTGCCTCACTGTTGCCCAAGCTGGCCTCAGACTCTGGGCTCCAGGCATGCTCTCGCTTCAGGCTTCCTAGGGGCTGTAGCTACTGTACCCTCCCCTTTTTCATCTTTTTTGTTCCATTTTGTGCTCCTAGGGATTGAACCTAGGGCTATCGTGTTGATTTGTATTCCCATCCCTTTTTGCATTTTGATTTTTAAGGCGGTCTTTGTGAGTTGCCAAGACTGGGCTTGAACTTGTGATCCTCTTGCCTCAGCTTCCCAGAGAGCTGGGATTACTGGTGTGAACCACTGTTCCTGGCTCCCTTCATTTTTTTATTTTTAAATACTTGCACGGCACTCAGCTGTGTGGCAGTGACGTTTATTTGCTAGTCCCCTGTGGGTGGACATTAGGGTTTTTCCTGATCTCAGGCTACCAGTCAGAATTTACCATGACTGCACAGGCCTGTGCTCTCTGGGGATTGCTGAGTCCCATGCAGATGTGCATGACCATTGTAGTCTGCCTGTGCCCTCGCTGCATAAGGCTGGCTCATTTTATATTCTCCCAGGAGTGCCGGGCAGTGCCAGCTGCCCCCACTGTGGCCAACACTGCCGTTGCCCGGAGCTCTGTTGTCGCCAGCCCGGCACAGCAGGAGTGGCTTCTTAGCGGTGCTGTGGCTTGCGCTTCCCCACGTGCAGGCTCGAGCATCGTCAGGAGCCGGCTGCACGTCTTCGAGTGCGTAGTGCTGGGTGTCTATGCTGCTTTGTTTTCAGTGTCTTATTATTTACTTTGGCACAGAATCCAGGGCGCCATGCACGCCAGGCAAATGCTCTACAACCGAGGTCTGCGCCGAGCCCCAAATCATCAGTTGTCACCAGCCTTTTTAAACGTTTGTGTATTTGTCTACTTGAGATGCTGGCTTTGATGCTATTTAAGTTTCAAATACTTGTTTCTGGTTTTTGGCAGGCAGAGAGTTTTATTAAAAAGTTCTCTGTGGCCTCACAACACCTTTGCAGTTCCTGCCTCTGGAGTCTCGAGTCGCAGTTAGGAGTCACTCCCCGCCCTCCCTGGCCTAGCAGGTCTGCCTGTGTTTCCTGCTCATCCTTGCATGTGAAGAACAGTCCTGCAGCTTGTGTGAGGCTGCCTTTCATGGCCGTGCAGTGGCCTTGGTCCCTGCGTGGTGGCTGGATCTCTGTGCGTGCCATCTGTGCCCTTGCCCATTTGTGTGCCAATCCTGACTGCTTTGCGCTGAGGGCATCACTATTGACTGTAGGCTAGCATGCAAGGGAAGCAGTAGGCTCACGGGGGCTCCTGTTCCCAGGGCACTGCCTCTGCATGGGCATCGAGCTAAATGAGTGGACCTTCCTGTGGGCATGCGGCTTGTAACGGGCTGACTGCAGCAGATCGGGAGGCACTGGGAGGCCTCTTCCCCTTGCCCATTCCTGCCCGCGCCGCTCCGTGGCTGAGAGGTCATCATAGGGAGGGTGAGGGAGTGCTGCTAGCTCGAAAGCCTGGTGTTGTCATCTGCTGCCTTGCTCCCTGAATGTAACTCACAGCCACACCCATGTCCCAGGAAACTGGCTTTCGCTTTCTGCAAAGCAAATTTTTATAGTGCAGTTGCTTGTGGCGGCTTTAACTGGCCTGTTGATGGCTCCTGAAGAAAGCAAGTGACTGAGCCGCCCTTCTGCCCGCATACTGCTCTGCTCACTGGTAGAGGGGCGGCTGGAAAGGATGGTTCCTTGGGAAAGGCCCTCGGGGCCTCAGGCCCTGACGCGGCCCTTCCTTCCTGCAGCATAGTGGCTCTGCTCTCTGGTTCTGGGAAAACCGTTGTTCTTGGCCTCGTTCCTGCCGTGTTGTGTCAGGAACTAGAGTGAGACCTCTGCCCTGTGAAGCTCCCCAGGGACATCCAGCCAGAAGTAGGAGGTTGTGGGATGCTGTGGAGTACAGGGTGAGGCCGGGCAGTGCTGCGGGGGCCTGGGTGCTGCGGGCACGAGCCTTAGCATGGATGTGACTGGCTTAGCAGGAGGCATCCCTGGGTGGATGGCACAGGTCCCTTCCTGTCTCTCTTTTCCCCATGGCTCTGTTGGGTGCAGTTTCTAGTTCATAGCGAATGGCAGATGGCACTAACCTGTCATCCTGCTCCTCCGTTTTGAACTCCTGATGCATCCGCAGCTTTGCAGGGTGTTCCCAGCCTTGGGTTCCTTGTTGATACCTGGGTGTCACACTACTGTGGCTGGGTGAGTGTCCCCCAAGGCCGTGAGAAAGAGGCTTGGGGCTAAGGTGGCGCTGTTGCAAGGCCTTTAGAAGGTCCTCCTGTCAGTAGGTCTGGGGGCCTGTGGGCCCTGGGCCTCCTCCCTGCTTCCTTGACTCAGCATCCAGGCTCCTGAGCTGGCGTCCACTTACCACCTGCTCCCACCATGATCGCTGCCTCGATAGAGGGCCAAAGCCATGTAGGTGCTCCTGACAGAGCCACCAGCCGTGGGCTAGAGTAAGCCGTTCTCTTGTAAGCTAATCACTTCAGGTATTGCACTATGAGGACAGAAAGCAGGCTAGTACACTGTTGTTGTTGGATCACTCACACTTGAATCCCACCCTCTGTTACCGTGAAAGACTGGAAGTGGCCCTGTGCCAGGACAGGCGGGTGGCCCTCTGCACAGCTTCACTTGCTAGCGCTCAGCTGCCTACACTTGTACTGAACTTAGCTTCTCACGCTGGCTCTGACAGAAAGCAGAGCTGCTCCGCAGATGGCCTCCCTGGCCTCAGCCTTTGGTGTGCCCGTGGGGCAGCCCCAAGCAGAGCTCTAGGCCTGCCTCCTGGACGTCTCTGGCCAGCATCTCTGCGTGACCCCTCCACCTCCCAGCCAGCCTCCGGCTCGTGTGTGCTGTGGGTCAGCTCGGCCACTCACCCTCAGGGCCCCACCCTTGGAGGCCCGCGTCCCTCCTGCCACTTCCCGGGATGTCACCGGGTGTGGAATTCACTTGTAGGGTTCCCCTCCTCTGCTCTGGGTCTGTCCTGTCTGTATTGGAAACCATTTATCAGCAATGGTGGTGGCACCCCGCCATTAGGAGTGTGCTGTTTTCCAAGATGTTCCATGTCTCGGGCCTTGGAAACCAAGTCAGCGTGGTGTGGCAGACCTGTGCATTGCAGTAGGCCCAGAGTTAGTGCCTCACTGACAAGACAGACGAGCCGCCGCTTGACGCAGAAGCCGTCGTGGGTCAGCCTCACTGCAGTCTGTCAGGACTGCAGACTTGGCTCTGCCCCGTATCGTAGCGAACGCTGCTGGAGAGTAAGCGCGAGCTCTATGAGAAGGGGCAGAACCAGGTGTCGACACGAGAGCTCACTCTGAGCCTGCCAGTGCCCGACAGGACACTAGTGATGCCAGGCATGCAGTAGGTGCTTAGGAGAGGTGCAGAGCCGAGGGCCAAGGCGGCTGGCCTGGGCTACCATGTTTGAAAGGTTGCTTTTCCTCGGTTAGAACGTGCACATTGTCGATGTGCACACAAGTGAAATGGCAGCATGATTTCAACCTCCCCTTTGACTGGGAAGATCCACGTGCAGGGTGTGATTGCTTTCCGGTTCTGGGAGCACGCAGAGTCCCCGTAGCTTGCCTTTCTGAATGAGGCCGCAGAAGTGGAGGGAGTGCTCTACCTCTGCGCGGCCCACGGCGGGGCACCCGGTTCTCTGAAGACCCGCCTGACTCTGCTCCCTGCTTTTCAGGCATGTTCGCCACCGTGGCTGGGATATCCCAGCGGGCCCCTGTACACTGGTCGGAGAACGTGATCGGCGCAGCTGTGTGCTTCCCGTACGTGCTCGCGCTCGATAGCGAGTTCATCACGGTGCACAGCATGCTGGACCAGCAGCAGAAGCAGACCCTGCCCTTCAAGGAAGGCCACATTCTACAGGACTTTGAAGGTGCTGTTGCCCACAGAGTGGGTGTGCTCGCCAGGCCTGTGCAGCGGGGTTTCCTCGGGGAGTGCGACTGCGACACTCGGTCCCTCACAGAGCAGGGAGAACCAGCACAGGCCTGCGCACCCTACCCCTTTGGGTGGCGAGGCCCGGGGGGAGGAGATGCCACGTACATAGCCGTTCTTGATTAGGGAAAGTGGCGAGAAAGGTCGGAACCTGTTCAGCACAGACTTCTGCCTTGTTTTTGTGGTTCTGGGCATGGTTCCCAGGCACTTGCACTGAGCTACAGATGCTGTCTTTTCCCCAGATATGCCCGGTTCCCATATGGCTGGGTGCACAGGGCGGCTCCTAGTGTGTGGGGCCCACTAAGGGTGTCGAGCTGAGTGCGGAGTCATGGGCACAAAGGAGGGGACACTCGGGGCAGAGCTGGGGAGAGCAAGAGCCTGCACTGGGTCCTCCAGGGAGCGGGACTGCAGTCTGGGGCTCCTGAGGAGCAGCTGGCCTCAGACCACAGTCCTGGCTCCCCTGGACTGCCTGCGGCTCTCACAGGATAGTGATAGCAACACGGGCAGCCCTGGAGGGTGAGCTGGTGGGCAGGGAGAGGCGGGCGAAAGGTGAGTGGGACACACTCAGTCTGAGGTTGTGCTTTGTCCATCCAGCCAGGAGGGAAGCAGAGCGTGAGAGTAGATCCTGTGTGATGTGGGCCTCATTCACGGCTGCTTCCCGGCAAGAGGCTGGTGCCTGGATTCTGCACACTTGCGCACTGACTTGGCAGAGCAGCTGGCGCTGTTCTGTGACAAGGTGGTTCTGAGGGTTTAGCCTTTTGCCACAATTGTCTATGTGGGCAGAAGAAAGGGCCGTGTTAGTACGTGTAATTCCTGTAGGAATTCCATGAGAGACTGGTGAAGTCGATTAAAACTTGGAATGACGCGGTGGGAAGCAGCGTGTTTTCTTACAGGGCATGTTCCTTCCCTTTCCAACACTGTTAATTTCTTCCCAGGAAGAGTGATCGTTGCCACGAGTAAAGGAGTCTACATCTTGGTCCCATTACCTCTGGAAAAACAAATACAGGATCTGCTGGCCAGCCGCAGAGTGGAGGAGGCTTTGGTCTTGGCAAAAGGCGCACGGAGGAACATTCCAAAGGAAAAATTTCAGGTTTGTAGTGAACTACTCACGAGAAGGGAAGCCTGTTAGCCACGGCTAGAAGACACTCAGGGCCTCCTCCCTGGCGTGGACCCTGCTCACTGCGGAGCGTGCACCGGGCACCCGTGTCTATGCTGCACTCCGGTCTCCTCAGCACAGCGCCTCATTGGTGAGGACGTGTGCAGGGTGCCCGGCGCCACAGGGGCTGTGACAGTCCCTTCGTTAGTGGGCCTTCTGAGAAGAATCAAGGACATGGTCCTCATGCCCCAGAGAGAGAAGTCTGGTTAACTGGGCTTGAAGTTTAGAATCTGTCTCTTGGGGGAGGGCGGGATTCAAGTGTGGATTCGCGTCACCTGAGGAAAAGCGCCACCAGCCATCCTGATGGAGCCTCCTGCTGCACAAGCCCATGAGCTTGATTCCTGTGGGAGGAAGCGTTTCATGCACTAGGCTTGCAGCTCTAAGCACAGTTGAGATAATCAGTGGCTTTACACAGATCAGTTCCTTAAACTTGTCACCAGGTTGCCGCCAACTCTTGGGTCGCCCTGGCCACTGCTCCCGGAGCAATAAGCAGGGCGCTGAGGTGTGCGCCGGGGCGTCTGTGCAAGTCTGCACGGACTGGGCCGTTCTTGGGAAGTAGTGAAGTCCAGGTTTTCGGAGGGACTGGGACTGTGGTGACAAAAATGAGGCCTCGTGGCCACAGTGGTCGCCTGCGGGAGGGGTAGTGTGGGCAGGATGCAGTGAGGCTGCCTTTGTCCTGGAGGTGACAGATCTGGAGGGCTCTTCTGCAGTGTCCCCTTCATAGGTCACTTCTGCTCACTCCACCTGCACTCAGCAGGGCCAGCAGAGGCAAACAGAGGAACATGCTGCGTGTGGCTTGACGCTTGGCCTCCTCCCTCAAGCCCTTTGGCTGCCAGCTGCTGAGACAGGCAGGCAGGGCCCGGGCTCAGGGTCGCCTCAGCGGCAGCTTCTCGGCTCCTGTGTTCCTATGTGCCACCGCCGTCTTCGTGGTGCTGGGGTCTGCTGGGCCCTGCCCGCTGCTCAGTTGGGGTGCTGTGGGGATGTCTCCCCTGTGCACGTGCACACTTGCAGTGCACGTGACATTTTGTCTCAACGCTTTTGGTGTTCTGTTTCTGATTTCTTCTCCGACTCTGCCAAGAGCAGAGGCTTGCCGTCAGAACTGAGGAAATCACCAGTCACCTGCTCGTTAGTCTGGAGTCTGGCGTCCTCTGTCCCACCTGTGCCCGCTTTGTCCCGATCCCGCGTGGAGCCACAGCTGCAGAGCTCAGCTGGCTTTGGCCTCTGTGCTATGTTCTGTGGCCACAGTGGTGGGCGCCCGGTTGGAGCCTGCTCTTTCCTGAGGCACCCCACAGCCTTCCGCTGCCTCAGCCCAGGCAGCATCCCTAAACACAGTGGGAAGGGCCCTGCACTGCCAGCTGGACGCTGCACCTCCGGGAGCTGCGCTCCGCCTAGCTTGCCTGGACTCAGCCACGCATCCCAGCCTCCAAAGGGGCAGCAGAGGGCAGGTGTGGGGCCCGTGGGGCAGCAGCTGCTCTGTACAGAACAAGAGTTTAAGACAGCTTCTAAAATCCATTCATAGAAGAATTCAGTGATAACCAAATGTGGGGCACATTCAAACCATAGCACCTCTTGTTCTTGGGGCCCAAGAGAGTTAGAGGAGCGCTGTCCTCTGGCCTTTGGGTAGGGGAGGCTCCTGCAGCCATGAGGGCTTGGGTGCCCGCCCGTTTCTCTCGGGCAGGCGGGCTGTGTTGGGGAATCCCGACCAGTTAGGGCAGAGGCAGCTGGTTTGGGCTTCAGCTGTGTGCTCTTTCTGACATCTCAAAGCAGTTTCCACTGGGGCCAGGAACGGCACCTCAGCCTGGCTGCTGTGAGCAGGATGGAGCGCATGCGCAGCTTGCAGGCGGGCCTGGGTCGAGATCAGTACTGAGAAAACAAAGCAGCTGCAACATACTGCACACGTGTGAGCTTTTCTTCTTACTGTTCGCAAAGCAGCTGTCTCCATAGCACTGATGCTGCCTTAGGCACGGCGCGCAGCTCCGAGGTGATGCAGAATCTGCGGGAGGGTGGCTCGGGTTCTGTGGGAGCGCAGCACCATTTAGACCTTGAGTGTGGCCAGAGGTTGTTCTCTGGGGGCTGCAACCAGCGCCCTTCTGACACCAAACGAGGGCCCAGTCTGATAAATTTCATGTGTGCCTTCCTTTGTAAACTGTAATGTCACAGGCCCCTGTGATGGTGACTTTACACTAGGTTGTCACGAGTAGTCTGTTTCCCCTTCTGGGTTCAGGTACTCAGCATGAGCCTGTCTCTCCATGCAGGTGATGTACAAAAGGGTTCTGCAGCAGGCCGGCTTCATCCAGTTCGCTCAGCTTCAGTTCCTGGAAGCAAAGGAGCTCTTCAGGTGAGGAGGGGCCGTGACTGCTGCTGAGTGCCCCTGTGCCAGGGACCTGTGCCATGCATCCCAGCCGAAGCCCAGGCAGCTTTGCCTTAGACCTCAGCACTTCCCTGTCGGCCTCCTGGGCGCAGCCCAGCATGCCCGTTCTCGTGGGCGCCATGAGAAGTGCCCTCAACTGGCCAGCAGGGCAGCTGATGTATCTGTCATGGGGGCAGAGCCCC